TATTTGTTACAAGTCCAAAAACCTGGGCAAAAGATTTAATGAAAACTCAAATGTTTAAGGACAAAGTTTATAAAAAGTTGATGCCCTAAACAATCAAATTAAGGCGCATAGAATGGATTGTTTTGATGCCCCAAGAATTCTCAAATCGATCATCTCAACTTTAAGATGCATAGACAAGAGAAAAAATGGATTTCAAGTATCCAAATAGTGCAATTTGTAATGTATTTTCTAGACTATTAATTTTCAAGATTTTCAAATGTTCATATATCTGTTCGATCTACACTATTTTTTAAGCTTTAAATTATAAATTAGAAATGAAAATAAATTATCAAGCCATTACAAAGATTTCCAATACTAAAATAGCATCTTTTGATACTATTTGAAGATGCACTTATTGTAATTGTTTAGGGCCTCAGCCTTACACAAACCACATCCAATATTTAAACGGGAACAAAATGGGCATTCGCATCATTTGGCTTGGGCCATCTTCCTTGTTTCAGATTCGAAACCTAGAATAAGGTATTTTCTGGTGTTTTAAAGAAAACAATTAATGAGGTATATAAGTGGAACATTCTTTACATAGTAACCACTTTATTGATTTGGTTTGATCTCCTTGATAATTTTTCAAAATAATTTGACCATTTTAATGATTTATCTGTCAAATTAACTAAACACCGAACCTTTTCTGATCGCTATAAAATCATGGTAAACAACCATTTCTGTTAAAATAAAATAGGATTGGCGCACTAAGATTTTGGTAGGGTACTCGTATACTAGAGTATTTTTAAGGAAAAAGTTTATATGAGGGTGAGGCCTTAAACAATTAAATTAAGGTGCACTTGAAAAATTCACTAGATGGGGTTGTTTTGATGCCTAAAAATCCTCAAATTGATCATTTTGGCCTCTAGATGCATGGACACGAAAAACAACTAGATTTCAAGTTTTGCGAATATTACATCTTGTAATGCATTTTCAGACTGTCAAGTGTTCATATATTTGTTTGATCTACACTTTTTCGAAATGTTAAGTTTTATAATTAAACATGAAACTAAATTTTTAGGTCATCACAAAGATTTTCCTTATCCAAACAAAATCTTTTGCAGTATTTGAAGGTGCACCTTACTTTGATTGTTTGGGGCTTCAACCTTATACAAACCACACCCTTTTCTTAATGCCATATAGTACCTAAATTTGATAAGCCCTCCCACGTATGTTTACATAAGGAAAATTGTTTCATGCCAGGGCTGTACTGTATTTCCACAATATGTGGTCCCAAAGTACAAAACATTTATCTTAAAGATGGACCCAAATAGGTGGTCCATATAAAAACAAATGAAACTAACATCCAAAGGTTTTCTTCATAAAATCATTATTTTTTACTTCTTAAAATTTATTTATTTATTATATTCATGATCTCCATGTCATAAGATTACATGTCTGTAAAAATTGGGTAGGAAAATCTATCTCAAAAATAGATTTTAAGAGTGGACTCATTTCTACATGGACTCATAGAGACCGTGTCCTTTACATAAAATTGTTGTTCGAAACCATTTTGGTTTTTAGCAACGTGTTAGCAGCTCCTCCACCATCTGCTGCATAAAACAGATGGTTCAGGGAGGTCGCATATCCGGTTGGCACTGTTTTTTTGTCTCCTCGAAAACCCAAATGCTAGGCCCCGCACAAAACCATATTTTCCGGTGATCAAAATTTGAAAACTTGAAACTCGAAATTCCCCACCGTCTCCGGCCTATTTCCTTCTCAATTTTATCAGAGTACTGGTTGCGGATAAGGGTGTCCACGGGCCGGGCTAGCTTTGCCCTTGTTGTCCCTACGATACCGGCCTATGCCTGACCCGACTATAACCAGGCTATGGCTGGTTAGCTTTGCCCTTGTTGTCCCTATGGGACCGGCCTAAGCCTGAACCCGACTTTAACCAGGCTATGGCTGGTTTAGATCGGGCTAAAATCAAATGAAAAAAGAATAGAAGAAAAAGAATGATTTACGTACTAAATGCTCTACTTTAAGGTGGAAATTACAAAGGAAGTTTATCAACCGTTTTTTTTCAGTTTTTTTCAAAATTGCCTATCGTGCAACTTTAATTTTAATTTTTTTTTTTTCAAGTTTTTTCATTAGTAGGGCAGTATCTTAAAGCTTGGGACACCGCTCTACTAATGAAAAAAAACTAAAAAAAAACCAAAATTTGAGTTCATTGCTGAGCAGTATTAGAAAAAAAAAAAAAAACAGAATGACTGAGCTTCTTTGTAATTTCTGTATATAAGTGGAGCATTTGATATTTTACCTAAAAATGTAGTGTCTGTACATAAATCACTCGAAAAAAAACTAAGAAAAGAAAAAGGCCAAGCCGAGGGCCAAACAAAATGGGCTAGCCTTGGCCCGAGCCAAGCCCTCAAACCACAGTTTGTAGCCGAGGCCCCACTTGTGTAGGGCCAGGCCGCCCGGCCCATGTCACGCGGAAACTAATACGGCAGCCGCATGAGATAGAGAGAGAGAGAGAGTTTTTTAAATTCCTTTTTTCGGACCTAAAAATCCATTGGGTCCTTCCAAGATCCATCCCCGATTATATCATATGTTAGAAAATTTGCAGTAAGAAAAACGAGATCTTTTTGTATGAGTGGGTTGGTGAGCGGTGGGATTTGATCTCATGATGCTATGTTGTTGCTTCACCGCCGCGACCACCAAGTCAAAAGAAACGAAAAAAGAAATAAAAGAAAACCTCCATTCATATTCATATTAAAAGAAAGGGAAATGAATCATTTTGACTCCTCAAACAGGGCACGCGGGGACACCATTTGGTCCTCCTTTTTCTCTCTACTGCGAACGTTTAAACTGATTTTCTCAGCCGTAGTTTACAGTCCACACTAGTCATAATGATGTCTCTTTCTCTAGGACTCAAATCGTTTAACTAAGGACCGCATATAATGTGCTCCCGCGGGAGCAATACTGTTAATCTACTCCCTTAGTCAAAACACCTAGCTAGATTGGTCTTATTTCGTCTAAATTTTTTGAAACTATGTGACAATGACTAGATGAATATTTTTTAAAAAAAAATTTGAATTTTGACTTTCACAACAATTAGATCCACCCTTCCAAAAATTGGACGGACTCTATTCAACCCTGAGGCATTGGTTTTTTTATTATATAGAGAATTTATTTCTGAAAAAAAATTTTGCTGACTTTATCTTTGGTTTGTAGATATTACATTCGAAAATTCGAGATCTAAAAAGTATCCCTAACATGTGCTTTGCCTGAGAGAGGAAATGGATAGTATACTCCATAGAGGAGAAAATCTTTTAGCTAAACTTATTTTCATCCATAGTCATCTTTATCTATTATTTTTTCTTCTAATCATAACAATAATTACAGTCTTTTTACACATGCAGTGTACGTAAACATGCAAGTGACCTTCACGTTTTGCACTCACCATCAAATGTCACCCTCCTGTTCTTTTCATTACTGCTCATGTTTTAGTGTTAAGCAATGATCTTAGTGTTGTGATTATCAATGTAATTATCAAACTATTAAAGAAAGGTAGACAGAGAGTGATTTATCTATTTCTAATTTTTCTTCATCATTAAGGGCCAACATTTCAAAAAAATGTCATATTCTCTCTCAATGATAAGGGTTTTTGTTTGGTCAATTTTGCCTGCCTTGGTACCACCCTTATCTCTTAGGTCGATCTAATGGCCATGGCAGTCCATTTTGAAAGATTGTGAATGCTACTCAAACAAATTCTCTCTCTAGAAATTCTTCCTCTCTTTCTCCGAGTCTTGGTCGTCTTGAAAAGACAAACTTGGGCCTACAGATTCCTTTCTACTTTTTGAGTGGGAAAGCCCACTTAGCCTTTAGGCACCCCACCTCCTTTTAGAATCACCACTTAGTGTGGAATAGAAGGATGGCATCTCTCTTTCTCTCTCTAAAATCTCGCGAGAAAAAGAGACAGAAGTAGTGTTTTTGAATGAAAAGCAATGTTTGCTTAAAGGAAAAACTAACGAGATGGGGGTGACATTTATAGAGAGAGATAGAATGAGAGAGATTTTTAGAGAGAGAAAGAATGATGTTTAGTGAGATAACCAGCTCTATAGGGAAGGAGCAAAGTATATTTCGCTTTACCAAGTTTATTAACTGGGTTTATTAAGATATTTAGAGAGAGAAAAACAGTCATGGGGCTCATATAGCGAGAGAAGAAAGGGTTTAGAGAGAGAGAGAGAAAATAGGTCAGCATTTCACCAACTTCACTCTAAACTATAGCCGCGGAACCTTCTAGATGGTAGTAAGTAAATAGGAGGCTGTGGAGAATCTCATCCGTTTGATTGAGAGGGGGGTTCCATGCGTGGCCTAAAATAGTTGTACTCGACTCGATCTTACAAGTAATTTTCGCCGAGGGGGCAGGAGCTGTCCCCCACTACAAATTAAACTTGGAAAATAAACAACGAACAAGCCCCTTTCATGCATTATCTGAAGGGACAGGAACGAGAGTCCTACTTTCCTCTCTCACTAAATCCATTAATTAATTAAGAAAGTCACCCTCCCATGTCATTAACAAATTAAGACGGAGACCACATTCAACCTTGTGTTGGGTGAGTTCCTGGATAATTTTAGCCGTAATTTTTTTTTTATGAATCTTGAATCCACATCATATGTTCATGCTTGGGTGTTTTTTTTTTTTGTTAGAGTTTATGACCTTACTAAAAATATGGTTTTTTTTAAGTAATTCAGTAGAGAAAGACAAGCCCTACCCATTTTTCATATAGATTAAGGAGTTGGCTTTTTTGAAATTATTAATAAATGGGTATCTACAAGATTGGAAATCACATCGTGATAACCATATATGATAACCATATATGAGGGCGATACCATCACGATCTAGCTCCTTTTCCTCACGGATAATGTCAAATGATAACAAGATTTATATAACCGACCTCAAATAATTAAATTAAAACTCTGATAATGATAATAACGAAAAACCACACACAATCCAATGAAAGCTTGAATACCAACTCTTCAAAATCTTATATACTTCGGACCTCCGATAAGCCTAGAGAGATGCCACCACACCATACAAGTTTAAATAAAAAAAAAAAATTGGAAAATCAAGGACTAAATATGTATTTACCGGTGAGCAGTGACACTAGGATTTCATTATTAATGATTCTAATGGTACGGTGAGGGTGTATAACTATTTTTTATTATTATAAAAAGGGGTGGAGGGCGATTTTTAATCAGGTGGTGGCCACGCAGAAAGAGTGCAATAGTAACAAGGGCCGGCTCGAATCGTTGCACCGCCTCGGTGTGAAATCCTCGCCACGGTCCGAGCCCACCCCAACCCACGGCGCTCTAATCCCCTTCTCACTCATCCAAGCATCCCTCTCCACAAAGCCCCTCCTCTCTCCTCTCTCTTCCACTCTTTCTTCTCTCTCCTCTATTTCCTCTCCCTCCTCCATTGATTGCAGGCTTTCTTCCTCCTCTTCTCTCTCTCCAAATCCCACCCCCAATTCCTTACTTTCTCTCTCTACAATTTCTTGGTGGATTTCCTCATCCTCATTCTCGCTCTCCTCTTCGCTCTCTCTAGATGGGTGGGTGGCTGCGAAGGTGAGGCGGAGGCGGCCGTTGCCACGCTGAGCGTGAAGGTAATTGTGGGACGGGACAGGCACGGCCTCGAGAACAAGGCGGCCGTCCACGCGGTGTGGGCGCATGTGCACGCAGGGTCCGTCGCGGCGCGAGATGGAGGTCAGGGGCGGTGGGAATGAGCGCGCCCCCTGCACCCGCCTCGCCGACCGGCCCGGGTACGTCACCGCACGCCGCAGTCGGGATGGTGCGCTGAGTTTTGGGGAGGTGGGTTCGTCTGAGTCCGAGGAGAGACAGCTGCCATAGTCCTTCTCGGACATGGTGTCAGACCCAGTCTCGGACCCGAGGCCCTCCGTGCAGAGGTTGAGGCTCAGTGAGCTCCACGTGCGGCGAAACAGGGGCTTGGGTGGTGAATATGGTGCCGAGGCGACCGGCGCTTCAAGGCGCTTCCGGCCCGAGACGATCGAGCTCCATATGTCGAATCGGTCCTTCTCTCTTTCTCTCTCTTCGTGTTCGATTTCTCTGTGCTCTTGGGGGGTGCAGAGTTGCTCGGAGGAGGCTGTCTTCTTGAAAGGGGGAGAGGCCAATTGGGGTGGTTGTTGCTGCTGAGAGAGCCAAAATTTGGAGGACTCATCGGCTGAGAAAGACCTTCTAAGAGACTGAGTTTTTGGGGTTTTCTCTTGAGAGGGTTGTGACCCTACGAGAATGGACCCTATGCCAGGGGGCTCCCCTCCCTTGCCCTCCTCCACATATGACTGGAACCCTCTGCACACCGCTGCTGCCATTTTCTCTCTCTAAAAACAATATCCTCTTTCTCACACTACGAAGAGGAAGGAAATGACCGGGAAAATGAAATCAATAAAAGAGAGAGTCACTGTAATTTAGAGAGAGGAAGAATGGGTTCGTTGAGTGAGAGAGAGGAGGGCCTGGGAATGGGTATGAGCTATTCCCTCTTGGCAGATAAGGAAGGGGAGAGGCGCTCAATTTGTAGGTGCGGAAAAGCCTGGTAGGACCCATCCACGCCCGAAGGAAAGAAAAAAAAAGAGAGAAAAAAGGAGGAGAGAGAAAATAAGCCCAAATAAAATGAGTGCTCGAGAGATATAGAGACTGAAAGGGAATTATAGATGAGAATGAAAGGAAGTTTAGAGAGAAAAAAAGGAAAGTAAAGTAAAGTGGTGGTGGAAAATGAAAATAATTCGAACAAAATACAATATTGGCTAGTTACCTAAAATAGCCATGCAACAAGAAAATATAGGGAATAGAATTTTAGAGAGAGAAAGTGGCATAAACCTCCTACAGTCACCTGCACTGCACTGCACTTACTTCTGTTGACCAACAAAAAAACACCCTGGCTTGAATTCCAAGCGAACTTATTATTATAGATTATCACTTTGTTACTCTTTAAATAATCATAATTAATCACCAACCTGAGGCGCCATTTCGGGACTATGCGAACGCTTATCTCGACCGTGGATCCGACAATTATGATGGTACAGTCTCATCTCCAACAACCGTATTTCTCCTATGATGATACTCCGTTCAACCAGACTAATCAAAAAAATAATTTTTTATAAAAAATTATATTTAAAACATGACGAAGGAGCACAACGTAATGAGGTTAAAAAGTAGAAAAAAAAAATGAATTTTAAATTTCCATTCTTGTACAGTGGTATTTTTGAAATTTAAAAGAAATATAAAATATAAAGTGTAACCCCAAACGGAGATGAGATGAGATGAGAGAGAGTTCATTTAGGTGGGCCGGCTATATCTAACACAAACCCAGTACAACATTTGATTGGAAGTGCGAGTTAGTTCAAATAAAATGATAAAAATGAAAGGTTTCTATACTTCCCCTACAACATAGAAGATCTATGTTTCCCCTACCATCCACCCGTCCACTTTTGATCAAAAGAGCCACTTACCGTTTTATCTTAGATCCGATGTCTCAAAATATTTTATTTTTAGGTTTTTTTTATACAAATTGTATGAACGTGAAATTTGAAACGTGTCATTTTCTCATTGGGACGTACTTATAAAAAAATATTAAAAATAATTTTTTCATAAAATATAATGACCAAAACACTTTGAAACTCTTGAAACTTTCAAAAATATTTTCATCATTTTATTTTATTGAAAATATCTGTAAAGGAAGTATAAAAAGCTTGTCCAAGATAATAATAAAAAAAAAACAAGAAGTAGGCTTAAAAGGACATTTGAAAGTGCTTAAACAAAGATGTTGGACTTATAGCCTCCCTAATGATATAACCATTAATATAACAAAATGACGGACCGGACCAAGATTGTGTATTTGACCTAAATTAATTGAAAAAAAGCTTTAAAAATGATGACAGTAAAGTATTCACATCTAAAATACTTTTTAATTTTTGCAAAAATGATAAAAAACATTAAAAAAACATATTACAAATAAATCTCTGAACTTTTTTAAGATTTGTAATTTTTATCTTTTTTAAATACTCAGCTGGACCACCAAAAAAACAGTAGTGCTTGATTCGAGTTTGACCAGGGGGTTCTGAGTTAGACAGGTAGAATTTGTTGGTCCAAGGTTCATTGACCACAGGATGTTAAGACAAACGGTGTAGATGAACTCGTACAAACTATACGCACATATCGCGTACAACCACTTGCCCTTTTTAATAGTGAAATGACTGAAATGCCATTTACACGAGATTCGCGGCACCCAAAGCAATCTAAGCCATTAAGAAGAGAAAAGATGAAGGAAAATAGGAATTAAATCAAGAGGCAGGGGCTAAAATTGTCAGTCACACGTGAGAAGGATTGGGCTGAGGTCTGGTCACGTGTGAAAGGGGCAGAAAGAGGCAGGAGGGAAAAGGGCAGCGGCACCGATACGAAGGCCAGTGAACGAAAAGGGCGTGACGTTGATTCGCAAAAAGGGTGTTTTTAAAAGGAGTAAAGAATAAGTGGGAGAGAGAGAGAGAAACAAAAAGGCGACATCTAGAGAGAGGAAGAGATGGAGAGGAGAGAGATAGAGTTAGAGAGAGAGAGAGAGAGAGAGAGAGGGGGGAACCGCACACACAGCTCTCCAATTATACACCTGACGTACCAACCCCCTAATTTGATTCGACCCTCATGCAAATCAAGAAAAGTGTTCCGTTTCTGACACACATATCTCTAAAACTCTCTCTCTAGACCTCTCTCTTTCTCTCTCTAAAACTCTCCCTTTCTCTCTCTAGACCTCTCTTTCTCTTCTCTCTAGACCTCTCCCTCTTTCTCTCTCCTTTATCTCTATCCTCTCTTACTATGCTGTAACGGAACCCCAACTAATTTTACCATTTTCTATAGAAAACCACACCTTACAACACGATCTTTTCATTTTTTATACGTTTTTTTTGTTGCTTTGTCCTCCCAAAAAAGCAAAACAGCCATTGTTGCAGGCACCCATCCACTCCATGGGCGGCTCCAGTTTCCCCATTTAGAAACTTGCAAACCCTAAGAAAAACTAATGTTTGATGAGAGAGAAAGTTAGAGAATCTACAGCTTTTTGCATGGTAATAACAGTCAATGGAACATCAAAAAAAAAAAGAAGAGTTAATGGAACAGGCACTTGTGGTGTGGAGGAAATTAGAATCCCACTTGTAGTAGAAAGCAAGATCTAACCCTACTCTAAAAGGAACCATAGACCATAGTGCTTTATCAAGGCCAATTAATCGATAGCTAGCTTGTGGTTTTCTTTTTGCTTTATCATTACATAAAAAAAATAAATGGTTTGAAATTTATTCATTTTGGTCATTGACATAGGTTTAATATTTGTGAACGACCAATTAGAACCAAATTCTTTGGATTGGCATGAATTATTCAACTTTTCAAGTCTTTTAATCTAAGTCAAGACAAGGTGCTTAATTGTGAATTCCTATTGGTTTCCACTTGAATCATACCAAACTTTGGTCTCGAAAACTTACATGCAAAGCATCAAACTTTTAACCCTAAATTTTTAGCATATATTTGAAAGAGAGAATAAAGCTCATTAGTATGAGCTCATAAACATAAAGGATGGTATATAAACAGCTGACATTAGGATGTTGACAGTAGGCCTAAATTTGGGACAACAGAGACATGAAGATAAACATCATAAAAGGGACTAAGAAAGAAGTACCCTTTTACTTAGTCATAGTCCCATAGATGGAGTCTTCCATCTATTCAAATGGGACAAGAAATTGTTTGTATGAGGAGTCGAACTTATACTGTAGATGTTAGGTATGCGTTATAAAACATCATAAAATGTTGTTTTGATGCTAGAAAATCCTCTAATTGATTATCTTGATATTGAGATGTATGGATACGAATAAAAAAAAGAGAAAGATTATATACTCCTACAAGATATAAGATATATACTTACCTCCCATCTACCTGTCCAATTTAGATCAAGTGGGCCACTAATCATTTGATCTAGATCCGATACCTTAGAGTATTTTTTTTTTATATAAATTGTGTGAATATGAAATTTGGTATGTGACATCTTCTCAATGGGGTGCACTTACAAAAAATTATTAAAATGAATTTTTTGATAAAATATATTAATCGAAATACCCCTCGAATATTTTAAAGGTACTTTGATAGTTTTATTGAGAATATTTTTTATATATTTTTTACAAGTGTGAGTTTAAGAGTGGAGTGGACTCCTAAAATTTTGTGCAAAAAAATTTTGTAAAAAAATAATTAAAAATAAAATAGTGTAAAGACATGACATTGTGATTAAGGCCATCCCAGTCGTCCATCAAGAATGGATGGTTGGATAATGAGAAATATATAAGTTCAATACTATAGGGGAAACATAAAAAGCTTACCAAAAGAAAAGATTTTAATATAGTGTCCTAAAAAGCTTACCAAAAACAAAGTTTAATTCTGTTTTTTAGATTTCAAATCTTAAAAATAGTGTAATCTAAAATCCCTTTTGGGATTTTCAAATGTTTATAGATATGCTTTTTAATTGAAGCTTTAAATTTAGATTTTATGGACCTCGTAAAAGTTACTATTCCAAAACCGTACCTTTCAGCAAAGTTTAGAAGTGCTCGTTACTTCTATTGTTTGAGGTTTACATCTTATGCAAACCTCACCTATTCAAATAAGGCCTCATTAAAAAATGTATCCAAAAGAAGCCTTTGAACCTAAGTTTTTGTAGGTTGATAATGTCAGAGTTTCACTATCATTCATACAAAAAGAATGGATTTTAATCTTAAGATTAAACTATTTAAAACTATTTTTTAGAGCATTCATTTAATTTCTTAACAAATCATCAAATCTGCAGTGTTTTTTGAGACTAAAAATGCATCTCGAGTGAATTGAGATGGGTTTCGGATCTTTAATAACTTGAGATGGGTTTCGGATCCTAAATATATTGTACGATTGATTTATAAAAAGGTATCACATTTGAGCGGGAAATAATTCAAACTTTTCTCCTCTAGTTTTTAATGGCACACTATACAATGTGACCATTTACCTATTTTATAAGGAGGTCACAATTGCTTATAACCATCCAATGTAAAAATTTGACAGCTTGAGTGCGTCACAAAATTCGAAATTTTTTTTTGAACTTTATGCTTGGTCAATGGAATAAATGTATCCACTCAATTTCATATCCAAATGTCAAGATTAATTGTGACCACCTTACTTAAAAAGATAAGGATGCAGTTAGCAAGCGGCTAGCCTGCATATTGTGGAAATATGGGCTTGGCAATAAATATATATTTTAAATATAATTTGATTCTAATCATTAAAGAATATATAATTTTTAACATGGAGATCATGAATATGAATAAATAAATAAAATTTTAAAATTAAAAATAATGATTATATTAAAAAACACATTTGACCCGTTAGTTACCATTGTTTTCAGATGGACCACCTATATGCATCCATCTTTAAGATGAATGCTTTATACCTCTGGAATTCATATTGCATAAATGTGGTCCAGCCCGACATGAAGCAATTGTTCATAAATTACCTCATTGTATTTTTTTTCATATTTTTTTGGGAAGAGTTTATATAGAGCCGAGGCTCTAAACAATCAAATTTGAGCCTATCTCAAAATTTCACTAGAAGAGGTTGTTTTGATGCCCAAATATCTTTAAATTGATCATCTCGACATTAAGATGCATAGACATGAGAAAAAAAAGGATTTCAACTTTTAGGATAGTGTATTTTGTGATGC